CTTACCTTCACATGTGCAGGTACCTAGCCACCCCCCCATCACACAAAATAATATAACTTAAAAATTAGGTGCTTACTCAGGGTTAATTTACTCACATTGAATTTATCTGTCTACCCATCTTTGGGGATATCTTTCTGGACATTTAGTTTATCTCCATGACAAGATGCAGTTTGTTGGGTGTTCCCAGAACTTCACATTTCTTTTTTCACAAACAGTACTTTGGTGGGTGGCCATATAGCTCAGTGATAGAGGCCTGCTTCCAGGCCTTGCTGACCTGGGTTCTATCTCTGGATCCCACATGATGTGTCCCCTCTGCTCTCAAATGCAGTGATAAACACTATGACCAAAAGCAACTTGGGAGGAGAGTATTTGTTTGGGAGAGTCTAATCACAGTGCATCGTTGAGGAAATTCAGGGCAAGAACTCAGGCAGGAGCAGAAGCAGAAATCTTGAAGGGACGGTGCTTCCTGGCTTGCTGTCCAGTTCATAATACTTTTCTTATACCTCTCAAGACCACCTACCTAGAGCTGGCACCACCCACTATAGACATGGTTCCCCTGCATAGATTACTAAATCAGGACATAGTTCCCACAGACTTGCCTAAAGACCAGTCTAACAGAGGCATATTCCCAATTGAATTCCTTCTTCCTGGATAACCCTACCTCTGTCAAGTTCAAAACAAAACAAAACAAAACGAAACGAAAAACACCACCTAACCAGAATATGGTGTGAGGAGGAACTGAATCCGCACTTACCCACGCACACCCACACGTGCGCACACACACTCTAGATAAAGTAAAAACAGAAAAAGGAACATGTTGCTTCTTAGAATTGTGGCACATTCAGAATAAAATCAGCCCCTTGTGGCTGTGGTAGAATATGCAAAAAGTCAGGCTAATTCACAAACTGATTGGCTGCCTCGTTACCATCATTCTAGAGATGAAATTAGCTAATTTCATAATGTCTTTTAAAAGTGTGGGTACTAGGTACAGAGAGCTGGAGTATTAAAAGGAGAACAGTTTTGTCTTAAGAATGGGTCTGGGTACTCTTGGGACATCCTTCTTCCTGCCTGCCTGCCCTGTTGTCTCGATACCATCTCACCCAGACCTTTCTTCTGTTTCAGAGGAGGAGTGTGGAGGTGATGCAGATTCGAGTCTGGCTGTATAGACACAGCTAGTCAGATGCCTGCATTTCCCAAGCCACATGGTACCCAGACCGAACAGAAAGCATGTGACCCCTGAAGTTGTCCTTAGCGGGGGAGAAATTGATCTGTGATGGAAACTATAGGCCTCAGGTTGACAAGGCAGCCTGTTTATTGCGATTTAGGTGTTGGGGCTTGTCGTTCAACCTGTAGTCTTCTCATGATTCTTCTCAGCCAGGATAATTTGTTTTACTAAACAATTTGCTAACACATTACTCTATTCATAAAAAATGGTATGTTTTCAATAGGTTGTTTATATTAAAATAGAAAACTCTAGGTTCATGATGAGCATGACAGAATGCCACCGGGTGGCACGGCTCTGTTGGCAAGATCTTCAGAACCCCTGTTTTGATTTTGAAGTTTTGTCTCATCAGTCTACTTAATAGGTAGCTGCTGTTCTGTTTGAACTATGTACACAGATGCACCACAAGATTTGAATAAAGGTTATCCTGAAAGCTGTGTTAGCCTCATTTGATCTTCTGTCTCTCCTCTGTAACTAAGGTGTGGGTAAGCTTGGCACTATCAAGACTTGGCTCCGATCTGCTGTGGTGGCACACACCTTTAACCCCAGCACTCAGGAGGCAGAGGCAGCCCCGTTTCTTGTGAAATTAAGGACAGCTTAATATATATATATTAAGTTCCAGACCAGCCAGGGCTGCTTAATGAGACCCTGTCTCCCTCCCAAAGAAAGGGAAACATTAGCTTTTACCTGTGAGTCACCCAGCTGGTGGCTTTAAAATTACATTTCACATGGATGCATGCATGGGCACACACGTGCAGACTAGAAGACAACTTTGCAAGCGTTGACTGCTTCCACCATGTGGGTCCAGGGGGTGGAACGGGGTCATCAAGAGTGATGGCCACACCCCTTGCCCAGCTGAAACCTCACTGGGCCCTCACCCAGCTCTTTAAAGGCAATTTCTCACCAGCAGTGGTGGCACACACCCTTAACTCCAACACTTGGGCCCCAACACTTGGGGGGCAGAGGCAAACGGATCTCTGTGAGTTCAAGGCCAGCCGGCTCTACAGAGTGAATTCCAGGATAGGTAGGGCTGTTACACAGAGAATCCCTGTCTTGAAAAAACAAAAAACAAAAAAGGTAATTCCCGTTTTCATTATGAACTCCAGGGTGCATAATAATAATTCTGTCATAGAGGAAAAGAAAACCTGAAGCTTTTTAGAAATGTGAATTTGCCTGTGTCCAGCTGAAAACTTTAATGGGCTTGATTAAAATCAGATCCATCTGATTTGAAAGCTCAGGTTTTGAAGAATGGTTTCCATTCTCTGCTGTGGAAAGTGTCCAGAGCCACAGTTTTGGAAACAGATGTGAGCTATAAGCTACTTGATTGATAATGTGACCTGGGTAGACAGCGTACTGTCCTTAAGCCTTGACCTTCACCTATGCCGTAGTGATAAACCCTTCTTGGTAGGTTAAATTGGGAAGAGGGATCTGCAGAGATGGCCATCTTTCAGAGGGCACTGGTTTGGTTCCATAGGGTATCCACGGGGCGGCCCACATGTCCGTAACTCCAATCCACAGAACCCAGTGCCCTCTTCTGGCCTCTGTGGGCACTGCATGCACACGGTGCAGGGACATACATGCAGGCAAGGCACTACTGCACATAAATCTTTTAAAAACCTTTATAAAGAGTAGAAGCAAAGATTTACCTACAACATAAATGCTCAAAATGTGTGAATCACTACTCCCTCCTCTGAGAAATGCCCAGTGTGCTAATTCATTTTTAAAACTGTAGCTCATTAGATGTTTTTCTCTTTTGAGCCTCTGCGTACACCATAAACTATTTTTTAAAAAGTATCCTTGAATAAAAAATCTTTTGAGCCCCCAAATGGTTAATGTCTAAAATAAAAAGGTAGCCGGGCGGTGGTGGCGCACGCCTTTAATCCCAGCACTCGGGAGGCAGAGGCAGGCGGATCTCTGTCTGGGTTCGAGGCCGGGCTGGACCAACAGCCTCCAATACAGAGAAACCCTGTCTCGTAAAACTAAAAATATAAAATAAAATAAAAAGGTATGTCCAATGTGAACAGGCTGAAAGTGTATGTATAGGAATATCTTTGGCCCCTATCTTGGGAACAGTGAGAATTAATTAAGCACCTTAAAAATTGGGCATGGTGACACTCTGGAGACAAAGACAGGCAGATCTCGGAGTTGAGAGCAAGCCTGGTCTACATGGAGAGTTCCAGGCCAGTCAGGGATACACAGTGAAACCCTGTCTTGAAAACACAAAAGCATCGTCAACAACAACAAATCCCAGTAGTGGGAATGGAGAGGAAGTTGCATTACGAAATGAGCAAGAGGGCAGAGAGCTTCGGCACTTAAGAGCGCATGCTGATCTTGCAGAAGACCAAGTTGGGTTCTCAGCAGTCATGTGAGGCAGCTTACAACTGTCTGTAACTCCAGTTCCATGAAATGCAGTGTCCTCTTCTGGCAAGTGGCAGGTGTGCGCGCACACACACACACACACACACACACACATACACACACACAGAGTAGCTGAAGGAAAACATGGCTTGTTCTTGGGCTAAATGTTATAGATAGTTTGGCTGACAGAAATATAAATGATCAGGAAGAAAAGAAGGCACATTATGGCCAGATGACAAACGCCTTCAGTTTTATGTTAAGGAATTTTATCTATTTAAAGACTTGATGTGAATGGCTACTGGGGAGGTGATGTCTAATTCTCCATTTGAGAGACTGTGAACCACAAAGCCCTAAATGATGGCAAATCAGAACATGGTCACCTACTAACTGGGCAGGAGAGGGATCAAGCCATAGCCAGGCTTACAGATTGTCCCCACATACTAAGCCAAGCCACACACTGAAGCTTCTGTAGAAGTAACTGGGTGCTTAAACCAGAATATGACCTTAACTGTCGGACAGCCTAAGTTTCTGTAGCCCCCAGGAAACCAACTCATTTTCCGTGATTCGCAAATGTGTATGTGTATATATACGCATACCTTTGAAGGGCTGGGGAGATGAAGCAGTGACAGAAGCATTTGCTGAGCAGGTTTAGGTCTGAATTTGAAACCCTAGAGCCCAGGAAAGGTCAGGGGCAGAAGGACCTGTCTGCAATCCTGGTGTTCCTCAATAAGATAGGTGTCAGGGACAGGAGAGTCCCTGGCAGTTGGAGGCAGTTAACGTATGCGCACCAGAGGAGGAAGAGAACTTAACCAACAAGGTGGAAGGCAGGGTCTGACGCCCGAGGTTGTCTTCTAACCTCCATGACAAGTACCCACGTGCAGCGCACACATGAACACATACCCGCAGCACCCCACATGCACGCACATAGTACATGTAACATGTTATAAGATCTCTTTGAAAACTTCCACTTAATTGTTAATCAGACGGCAGTATTAGATCATATAAATTTAACCATCCCAAGTTGGCTGAGGATTTTGAATGTTTCCTTTGCCTCCTCCACAGTCTTTGGGTAAATAGCTACTGTTGTCTGGGGGATCCCTGGCCTGCTTCATACAGCCTAACACCCACAGTGTCTCCATTCAGTAAACAGAACACATCAGAGACTAAAGGATTCAAAACCCAAAGCACCAACTTTCTTGACTCTCATGGCCCAGATATTCTAAAGACCCCACCCACATCGCATTTCACCATTAGCTGAAATTGGGTACTATCGCCAATCCTGCATCAGGACAATGACTTTATGACCAGATTAATGTAAGTTTCTTACCTCAGCCAAAAGTCATAGAAATGCTACCAGATTCCACACAGACTCTCACACAACTCAAACTCAACTCTGCTGCTCAGTACAGAAAACCAAAGACAGGATCATCTGTTTTTATTGTAAGTTCGAAACCCTTGTGTCATTTACAACAGATTTTCACTGCCATGGTTCCCATCAATAGACTTTTCTGTAAGTCTAAGATGAAAGCAGCTTTTCATTTGACATGAAGGACCGGCTGTGTGAAAACATGACCTAGACTGGTGATGATTTTATATGCTCTACTTTATGTTCTTTACATTTACATGAAAAAAAAACCTTAGTCCATTCATTCCATAGTACAGTGTACACTTAAAATGGGTCATTTGGGTAAATACATTAAGATCTGCATCTCTCTCTCTCTCTCTCTCTCTCTCTCTCTCTCACACACACACACACACACACACACACTGTCACTCTCAATTTCAAAAGAAAACTGTGTAACCAGCTCTTCTAATTCTGGGTGTGTGATCCTGGAGAGCTCTGCAGAGTCGGGGACAGGGTGACTACATCAGAGGGTGGCCCAGGGATCAGATTCTTGTCATTTCCTTCCACCAGAGAGTCCCACTGATTGAAGTCTTTATGAAGCCCTGTAATAACAATAATAATGATGATGATGATGATGATGATGATGATGATGATGATGATGATGTCAGGAATATCAAACAGTTGGGTGCCACTAGGCGGCACCATAGAGTCACAAATTCTAGGTCTTCTGTCCCAGGTCTCCAGATTGCATTAGCACACGCAGAACCTCCTGAGAGGCTTAGAGATAAGTAAACTGCTGTCAGTCATGCAGATTTACCCTGGCTCCGTAGAAGGTTCAACAAGTACTTATATATGTTATACACATACACGCATAGTGAAGAGTGCAAGGTAGTACAGCTCACTTTTCGAGATGTTTCTTTTTAAATTAATTTACTGCTCTGTCTACTAAAAGCTAAATGGAAACAGCTACAATAAGACTAAGATGGGCTGAGTATAAAATGGCTTTGCCCTGAGAACCAAGCCACTGGAGTCACAGAGGAAGGCTGTTTCTTACCTAAATGCCTCTGCAGGAAAGCTAAGGAAGCTTTGTTGGTGAGGTCGATGGCTACACAGGAGTCTATTTCTCCTTTTAACGTTAGCTTGGTTCCAATGATTTTACCAGTTACAAAAGTAAAGTCCGCAAAATTCTGGTGCACTGAGCCCCTAGAAGAGAAAGGTATCTATAACTCATGTTGCTGGAAAAAAGTATTTTATTTTATTATTATTATTTTTACAAAAGTACATAAACAATTCTGGCCAAGGTAGACAATTCTCTGCAAAACAAGGGAACAGGGTGTGGAATCTGATAATTCTTTACGTATATGAGGGTCAGAAGATGTTCATTTGGGGATCCTAAAATACAATTCCTCTTCCTGCTAGGGGAAAAAGCAATGTGCCCTAGTGTATACTTCTTGCTAGGACAGACACCACAACCAGAAGCAACTTGAGGAGGACAGGGTTTAGCTCGCTTCCAGATGACATCCAGTCCTTCATTGAGGGAGACAAGGCAAGAGCAAGGCAGGAACCTGGGGGCAGGAGCTGATGCAGAGACCGTGGAGGGTGCTGCTTACTAGCTTGCTCTCCATGGTTTGCTCAGTTGTTTTTCTTTAGGAAGCCAGGACCCAGCCAGGTGTCACACCCTACTAGGTGGACTGGCTCCCCCTCCCCCATCAATCATTAATCAAGAAAATGCCTCCAAAGAGAAGCCTACAGGCCAGTCTGACGAGGTAATATCTCATTCGAGGTTCCCTCTTCCCAGGTGACCCGATTTGTATAAAGTTGGCAAAAACTAACGGGCAATCTGTATCTTAATTTTGAAGAAGTAAGTTACAACCTTCCATTAACCAGAATACTTCTGAGAAGATGGGATGCAGTATTTTTTTCTCTCTTTTATTCTTTTTTAGTGAGTGTTCTTTTTAAGTTTTTGAGATCTTACTTGTTTTTAATTTTATGAACTGGGCCCACATACCACATGTACAGAACCCAAGGAAGCCAGAATAAAGCATCCATCTGTCTTCCCTGGAGTTGCAGATGGTTGCGAGCTGCTGTGTGGGTGCTGGGAATATATCTCAGATCCCCCAGCAGAGCAGCCGGTGCTCTTAACCACTGAGCCATCTCTGCATACTACAGAGTGTTGTTTTGTTGTTGTTTAACATAAAACAGGAAAAGTTACCAAAACAATATGTTAAAGAAAAAAGGAGAGGAGAAAAATGTGAAAAGTAACCATCTTTCTCTTTTTTCTTTTCCTTCCTCACTAGTTTACTGATCTGGGTTTATTCTCGAATACTATAACACCGTGATAGTTGGTTTGGGGTGATGCTAGGTGACTGTCAAGAGGTTTGCACATAGAATATGCATACTGGATGAAGGAATGGTTCCCACCAAGGCAGGATGGTGCATGATTTCATCATGTCACAGAGACAGCTCACACTTTAAAAAGTGAGTGGTTACTTCTAGAATTTTCCCCACTAATATTTCCTGACCACAACTGGCCATAGGTAACTAAAACTATGAAAATGGAATCTGGAAAGCCATAGTGGAATTATTCTAGGTACATCTCTCCTGTCTTCTTTTCCCCTCCTGAATTCTTGAAAGTCTTTTTTTAAATACTTATTTTTATTTTCGTGTGTGTGTCCATGTGTGTGCGTGTGCGTGCGTGCGTGCGAGTGTGTGTGTGTGTGTTCACGTACACTTGCTGACAGAGACGAGAAAAGGTCATTGGCTCCCTTGGGGCTGGAGATGCAGGCATTTGTGAGACGTCTGACACGCAAGAGGAGCACTCGCTCTCAACTGCTGGGCATCTCTCTAGCCCCGGTTTGCATAATCTTACTGTGAGTTTAAAACCATATTAGGATGTAAGTATATGGCTTTCACTCAAGGACATTCCCGTAGAGCATGTCGGAACTTATAAAATCTCCCATATATGTTCAGGTGTTCAGGTGAAAGTAGTCAATACCATATTTATCTGCCAATATAAGCACTGTAATTAATAGCATTAAAAACATTTTCACTGAAGTCAGGGGCTAGAAGGATGATGGCTCCGTGGTTAAAAGCACTTGCTGCTCTTGCAGATGATCAGGGTTTGGCTCTCAGCACCCACACAGCAGCTCACAACCGCATGCAACTCCAGTTCCAGGGGATCTGATGACCTCTTCTGGCCTCTGCAGGTACTGCACATACATGGTGCCCAAACTGACAGGCAGGCGAAACACTCACATTCATCACATCAAAAAAGAAAGAGTAAGCTGGTGGTGCTGGCGCACGCCTTTAATCCCAGCATCAGGAGGCAGAGGCAGAGGCAGAGGCAGAGGCAGAGGCAGAGGCAGAGGCAGAGGCAGGCAGATCTCTCTGTACTTGGGCCAGCCTGGTCTACACAGTGAGATCCAGCATAGCCAGGACTACACAAAGAAACTCTGTTTGGGAGGGGAAAAAAAGAAAAAAGAAAGGAAGGAAGGAAAGAAAGGAAGGAAGGAAGTGTACTGGAGGTGACAGACCATATTCTCCATATTAAAAGAAAACTAACAACTACCACGGTCGTCTTTCAACGGCTCCCCAATGGCACACGGCATCCTCTCCACCCAGTTTCAAGTCTGGAGCATCATCATCATCTAGCGCATGCGCACTTACTTGATGGCAATCATTTTCCTTTCCTTGCCAGGCTGGTAGAACCGTTTCATTTTCATGATGTCTTTAGGAGACTGGAATTGTGCAGAGTTGATGAAGAAGAGAGGCTGAGGGATTTGGGAGTACAGCTCCTCACTCACCGGAAACATCCACGGATCAAGGGCGACCCCACATCTGCAGATGTGGTTGACAGTGATGGAGAAAGACCGGTTACAGGCTGGCCCACTGGGACCTTCCTACCACTCGGACTTACTACAAGGATCTCAAGGGAGCCACGGTCGACTTTGTAACACAGCTCACCTGGCATTGCACGATTCTCTTCTATAGGACTCATAACAACAAAGAAGGCTACTTCCTTAAAAGTTTTCCATATTCATTTTTGTCACGGGGCTTTAAAATGCACTCAAATCAGTTGCAATTTCTTCAAAACCGGAAAATAGCAAATTTGCCTTTTCTGTGTTTCAAACATAGTTTTACTTGTTTGAAGCGGGAGATATGTGCAGATTTCCAAAGAAGCCAGCAGATGGCGCCAGATCTCCTGGAGCTGGAGTTGTATGAACTGCCTGACATGGTGCAGGTTCCTGCCTGCTAGATTAGCCTCTCCAGCCTGTTTCCAAAGCCTCCGGTGTTTCACAGTGCGTCTGTTACATCTATTTCATGGTAACAAGGTACCCCAGACACATAGGAATGTATTTAGAGGGTAAAACACATGACACATACCTTGTGAGGTCTTTGGGGACTAGAGAGATGGCTCAGGGGTTAAAAGTCTTTACTGTTCTTGCAAAGGACCATACTAGGCGGCTCACAACTCCTGTAACTCTAGCTCTAGGGGATCTGACACCTCTAACCTCCTTGTTCACCTGCACTCACACGGACACACACACACACACACACGCCATTAAAAATAATGAAAGCAAATTTTAAAAATTTAAAATAGGATTTTCTTCTCGCCACTAAGTTTGGTCCTGTTCCCCAGCCTTTTTGAAAATCCACCCATATGCTACGTAATGACAACAGAGACTGCCCTTACATTACAACAAGTGTCTGAAATGGTCCAGCCCACTCCCTAGACAACTAGTTCCACGTGAGTGTAGGATAAGCCGTGATTCAAGAAAAAATGTTTCTGTATGTTAGAAAATTTGGCTCTTGTCTGACTTTGGCCCAAATAACTATGATTTTAGATTTAGTGTCACCATAAAGACAAGAGAAAAGAAAACATAATGATAAATTTTTGTTTTGTTTTGTTTTTCGAGACAGGGTTTCTCTGTATTGTTTTGGAGACTGTCCTGGAACTCGCTCTGTAGACCAGGCTGGCCTCGAACAAGTTAAAAAAAACAATGTCTTAGGGAAGTTTGTAAAAATGGTGGCAATATTAGCACAAGCATGTCACAGTAAAGACATAAAGCTAAGATTCCGAGTGAACATGTGAAAGCCTTTATAGATAAATAAGGACGATGGGGGATGGATACGGGTGGGATATTGCTTTTAAAATTAGCTTACCAAGCGGCGGGTTTCTTTACCGGCATGTTCTGCACACGTGTTTGGGCTGACCCTCCCTCCAGCCACTCCTTTCCAGCTCCGTTCACCCCCCTCACTTAAACCCACTGCCTTCTGTTACATTCCCCCCCCCCCCCCGCAGCCTCTGCTTTCCGTGCTCATGGGACCCTTTCTAGTTTCTTGGACTCTAGACACACTCACCCCACTGAAGTAAGATGCACACATGAGGGGGACATGAACGCACAAAGAATATGCAAAGAGCTCAAAACAACTAGAGACAAAAGCAGCAACAATGAAAGAAAAAGAACGGGCCAGAATGGGCCAGGCTAAGAGTCCTTTGAAAGGAAAACAAATGGCTAATTAAGTACTCCTTAGCCATCAGGGAAGTGCAGATTAAAACTACTTGGAGAGAGGATCTCATCCCAGCGAATGCCAGCCAGGGCGTGGGGTGATAGGCAGCCTTGTTCACGGTTGGTAGGAGCATGACCTGCTTCATATACTTTGGAAATGAATGTGGAGGCTTCTCAAGAAACTAAAAAGCATAGCGCCACCAAGTGACCCAGCTGTACTATTCCAGGCGTACACCCAAAGGACTGCATATTTCCTACAGAGATGCCTGTGCATCTGTGTGTATCGCTGCTCTAATACAACGGCAAGGGAAAGGTTTCAGCAGCAGAACCAATAAATGGTGTCTGCCTGGGAAAATGTAGACGCTTGATGAAGCAAAGCACGATGGTAAAGCTTGAGCTGGAGAAGTAGCTCACTCAGGGGTTTAAAGCAACTGTTCCTCTGGCCAAGGACATAGTTTCAATTCCCAGCTCCCACATTGCTGCTCACAACTATCTGCGGTTATATTTCCAGGGCATCTGATGCCCTCCCTGACCCTCTTTTGGAACAAAGCAAGCACATACACAAAGACAAAGCATCCATGCATGCAAAATGGAACAGATACAGAGAATAATAAGACGGGTACACCCCAAAGACCCCTTAATCACTAGACTGTCAGAGACATTCTCTCTCCTGTGTTGGCCTGCCCTCTATCCCAGTCACTTTGGTTGTCTTGCTTTGTCTCGTTCTCTTACTTGAATCTCTGATCTTCACTAAGGGCATGGATAACTGTCGCTCCTCCAAAAGAATGTCCAATCACGGCTATTTTATCCCCATCGATAGCATCCTGGGTGGAAAACACAGGATAGTGAGTTACTGTCTCACCTGGTATTAGAGACGTAATTCTGTCTGTCATGCAATCAATATTCACTTCAGGTCTGGTCAAGTACCTTGATTACATAACACAGAGCGTGCTCGAGCACGCGCGCGCACACACACACACACACAATTTGGAAATGTTCAGAGGCAAGCTAAATATAGTGACACATTCCTGTAATCCAGTACTTGAGAGAAAGGAGGATCAGTTCAAAGTCATCTTTGACTACATAGAGTAGCCTGTTAGAAACCAGTAGACTGGAGCCAGTTTAGTAGTATGAGACAGTGTCTCATACTACACACACACACACACACACACACACACACACACACGCACACACACACACAGACACACACACACACACAGACACACACACACACACCAATTAACTTACAACAGTCCCCTACAGACCCACAGGCCAACCCAATGTAGACCATCCCTCACTGAGTCTCTCTTACTAGGTGATTCTAGATTGGGTCAAATTGACAAGCCCAACCATTCATCACAAAGTTTATCGTATACCTTGCGATGCAGCAGAAAAACAGCCAACAAAGAATAATCCAAAATCACAGTCCACTGAAGAAAGAGCTTTGCTAAATGCTCACCTTCAGCTGTCTCACATCAAAATCTGAACCGAGTATGTTCTCTTTCGGGCTTCCATGTCCAATGTCAAGAATTGCACTGAGAGCCTGGGAACATTCTTTCGCTCTTTGCCGCACCTAAAACAATAATTGGAAGCAAATGATAATACAAGATATTGTAACGCCTTAATGTCTGTGTAGGGTTGCCTGTGGGAGATCGGTTAGTTTACACACTGCAAACATCTCAATGAAAAGCTGGAATACAAGCTAGCACTGTGATTGGGGGGGGGGCGGCTCCAGCTAGGTTCAGCTCACCTCTTGCTTGCCTGATGTGTGACTTGCTTGGGTTTCTATTTATTGTATACTAATGATGGGGCCATGTGAACAATGTCCCAGAGAGGATGCCAACAGACCAAAGAGACTATTTCACCAAGTCCCACACCTAGCTGGGTGACCTGGTAAGTTGACTAGGGTCACTTACACATGCGTGTGTGGTGACTCACAAAAGCTATCTCTCCCAAGCAGGAGAACAGTCAGCTGCTTCCCACCTGTGCAGCCTCGGGAGGGACCCTGCCAATCTTGTAGCTCTCTGAGCTTCCTGGAAAGGAAGATTCCATAGTGACGTAGTCTACTTCAGTGAAATGTGTGTGGGTCTACATAGCATGACACATCTAATACACCCAAGATAAAGAAGGAGCCACTGTACTTTATCTTAAGTAATTATTCCAATGACCACGAGAGACAGGTATTGTCATTCACTATTTTGTAACCTATCAAAGCACAAGGTTTACTTGGTCAGGATCTTTCTACTGCCAAGAGATGGGGCTAGCATTCACAGATAGGTGGATTTTAAGGCCTGCACATTTCTTTTGGGGGAATAGTGGGACAGGTCTCACAGTAGCTTTGGATGACCTAGAACTTACTATGTAGACCAAGCTGGTCAAAAACTCACAGAAGTCTGCCTGCATCTGTCTCCTGAGTTCAGGGCAAGCCCTATACATTTGGACTGCTGTATGCAATCTCTCTGAAACCTTTTCAACGATGCTTCTGGGTTTGAAGATCTAGTCTTTTTTCAATATCGATTTTGAGGTTAAAAATCTATATACTTTAACAGAAGAGAATTCTGAATGCCATTGTCATTTCCTAGAGTAGATTTGTTTGTTTTTCTGTGAAACAGACATTTCAATAAAAGGAGTTGTCTCCATTGGAGAGCTTCCGACAGACCTTTAGGTAAGGGGAGAACTGGTAGTTAACATTGATGAACGTCTTCTTTGTGCTATGAAGACCGCAGCACCACTACTCCCACTGGAACGTACCTGCTGTTTCCGAACTTTCTCTGCCTCCTCCTGTTTCACCATTTTCAGGTATAGCCAAGTCCTGTTTTCCGCTTTTGCTGCTGCCTGGTCCTCAAAATAGTAAGATGCTGACGCAGACCCGTCTCTACAACACACACAGATTTAATGACACTCCATTCGTCGGACTGCCTTCCCCAGCTCCGTCCCTGTTCAATTTTCCTCTCATCTGCTGACTTCCCTTTTCCTCTGCTGCTCTACTTTTTCCTTCCACAAATAAAAGAGGACTCCAAGGGAGTACTTGGGCCAGGATCTAATTGTCCATTGTCTAGGGACATGCAAATAACCCCTCCGTTATCACAGTCCTAGAAGGCAGCACTGGGACCATGTTGAAAAGCCATTCTCATGATCTGGGGGCACAACTCAGTGGTAAAGTGTTTGCCTGATACACACAATGTCCTGTTTCTAACCCCCTGCACTGCAAATAATAATAATAATAATAATAATAATAATAGTAATACAACACAAACTCTAAAATCGAACTCCAGCCTTGTCACCTAATAGTTTTAGGTACTTTGAGTAAATTACCTGTAGTACCCCCATTTCTTTCTTTATTTTCTTCTTTTTTTTTTTTTTTGGTTTTACGAGACAGGGTTTCTCTGTATTATTTTGGAGGCTGTCGGTCCAGCCTAGCCTAGAATACACAGAGATCCGCCTGCCTCTGCCTCCCGAGTGCTGGGATTAAAGGCGTGCGCCACCACCACCCAGCTAAGTACCCCCATTTCTATCTTGTGTAAAACGAATAAAACAACCATCACATAGAGTTGTTACAAGTTCTAAAGGACTGGGAGTGTCTGAAATGCTGCAGTTTATCCCATGACAGATTTTAATGCTCTCAGGGCATAACTCTTTTGAAAGTCTTGACAGTGTAGTGCATTCTCTTTTTGTTCTCATCACGTAAACTTTTATAAGTTTATAGAACAGTTATAGGTCAAGTTAAGGACATTAACATGGTTTTTGTTTTGTTTTTGTATTTGACATACGCAAGACCATACCTGTGCTCTACAGCAGCAACTATGAACCCATAAGATGCCAGGCCAATGCCAATAGCAGAGTAAATTGTTCTGGAAAACAAAAGGCAAAAGCATTGCAATTACCAACCATAATTGCAAACCCGAGTCCACTAAGAAAATGAGGAACACGGAGCCCATGGCACCCTGCATCAGCACGTTGTGTGGCTCTGGAGGCACGTGGCAGTGTCTGGAGGTGTTTCATTTCCTCTAGGGAAAGGTTACTGGCATCTAGTGAGCAGATGGACACAGATAAGCATCCTACACTACATAGCATAGGGTCTCTAAAGCGAGCAACCACTTGGTTTAAAATGTCAAGAATTCTGAATTTATGGAGCTCAGAGGTAATGTTCCAGTTATTACATCGTGACTTTCAGAGTTGATGCATATCCACTCTACAGCACACACAGATTGAATTGTTCTCTTTCATTCCTTACCCAACCATGTTCTTCAGCTCCATCCTGGACTCAACTTTCCTCTCATCTGCTGACTTCCCTTTCCCCACAGGAAGTGCTCAGGAAAGTATCTGATTGTCCATTGTCCAGTGACATGCAAAAATACCTTCATTGTCAAAGGCAAATGCGGGGCCAGGTGGAGAAGCCATTCTCATGAGCTAGGGTCACAGCTCAGTGGTAAAGTGATCCGAACTTAAGCTTGGAGTTATTAAGTCTTTGTCATTTATTAGCTATATGATATTTAGATACTCAACTTTGTAATCACGTATGAAATAGAGCTAAAAACAAAGGCTTACATTTAGGATAGAGGAGGTAAGGTTTTCTTTTTTCAAAGACTTAAAAAGTTTTTATTCATGTGTATATATGCACAGGAAGGGATCTGGTCTACTCTGTAGACTTGAAGCCTTGCCTACTGCGGGTCAGAGGAGCTACTTCCAGCTCCATGAGAAAGACATGTCAACCCTGCTGTAGCAGTCATGGACAATGTGCAAGGTGAGTGCATGGAGCTCTGCTCCAAGACAGCTTTTATATAGAAGGCTGGCTAGACTTGGTTCTTGAGTTGCCATTTGCCAATCGCTACTGCAGCCGAAATCAAATACTTCTCTAGACTATGACTACAGAGCTGAAGATAGATACAGCCCAACTTTCCGCCAGTCCCACAGTCAGTTCTTAGGGAACCCCAAGTGTCCAGCATGGACCAACATTACATGCTGAAATCTGATTTATTTTTTTTAAAAAAACAGATCTGGTCAGGGATGGCTTGGAATTAAAGCTGTCTGGTCTCCCAAGCATTACCTGAAGGCTCCAAGACCATGAGAAAAGACAATTAGTGGATATTTTTCACCAGTCCTGAGAGGAGAATTCCAGCTTGCAGGCGTTGTCTTTGAACCTAGATAATAGTGGGAGGAAAATCAATGTTTCCTCTGGCTGATTATTGCTAGCTAATAAAGATATACCTTCTGGGCACAAACCCCAACCCATGGAGTCTTAACTATGATTTTATAAGTTAGTACACTCATTTCAAAAGCCAGATACTAGATACTCACCAACCAGGGACTCCAGTGTGCCTTCCCCCATGAGGGCATCAATTACTGGTCAGTGCTCACTGCCACTGACCTCACAGGGGGAAATTTTCCTGCTTACAGGCATATTCTGGAAGGACACTGCTTGTTTCTGTTTTGAGGGTGGGAGATAATGCTGAACATTTAATTTAAAACTAACCACCCAGGAAATCTTAGATCATTGTGCTGAGAGCCAGGATCTGAGAACCAGAGACTACTCTCAGGAAGCATCATAGTCCAGCAAAAGATGGAGAGATGGTGAATTCACACACCAGAGGGAGCTTTTCATGGGACTGCCTCTGCCTTGGGCATGGTCCTTGGCAAAATGGTGGGAACGATTATAATCTTAAACACTTTGAATAAAATTTGTATCTAACCAGGTTTTATGTATAAGGTATCCATTTTTATGTATAAAGTACCGTAAAGAGCCCAAAGCTGGAAAATATCACCTCCCTTCCGTAGATGTTTTTTCATCATTTCTGTCATGGTCATTTCAATGTCATTTTCTTATCATAAATAAGTATATGGTCATGAAGACTGAAGGTAGTGGTTGCTATGGGAGCGGCTTATAAATTACTCCATGCTATACAGTAGTATTTTCTAGTTTAGGCTATTTTCCTACTTTAAAGCAATGTCTATGAAAACCTGAAGATAATCTTAAAGAGAATTCCCAAAGCTGAAAAATTTGAAGGTGTAATTAACATCAGCTCAAATTTTCACCCAATCTAACAAATGTTCGTGACTTCTGTCTTGCTTGGTATAATGCAGACATATTAAGTAATAACTGCCTCAGACTGTAGGACAGAAGTGGGTCCTTTGGGGTGGGGGTTGGGCATGAACTGAGATATTTTATGATAAGTGGGACATTGCCTGGGCTTGGCTGCTATTTTCCCATGTTTTTCTGACACAAAATGCACAGGCAATGGTCCCACCAGACAATATGCTACTCTGACCACATTGTGGTTTCCACCACAGGATGTAAGAAAGGAAACTGAGGATCAGGCATAAGAAGATATCAAGACAAATATGTCATTCCATCCCATCCCATTCCAATAAGAATGCTTAAAATGACAAAGATCCCTCAGCGTTGCCTACTCCCTTAGGAAATCCTATCTTTCTGTATAGGGAGATCACGCACCTGATAAAGTGTCTGCCTTGCATATGGTAGTATAAGAATACCAGCTACATAGCTGTAATCCCAGTGTTTCATAGGCTGAGAAGGAGGGTCCCTGGGACTTGCTGATATGTCAGCCTAACCTAAATGGCAAGCCCCAGACTATAGAGGTCTCCTGTCTCAAAAAAGGTGGACTGTGTTTCAGAGAAATATCACCTCAAGCTGTCCTCTGGCCTTCACATGAATTAACACTCATGTGCAGAAGAACACACAACACACACACAGTTTAAAAAAAGAGAAGAAATCCCATCCTTGACATCTTAGAAGAAAATCAACCTTAGTTTTCTTACTACTTGTAACTTTTGTTTCTTATATACACTTACACATATATACACATACACATACATACACACACACATATATATATACACACATATATATACATATATATAAAACTTTAGAACAGGACCAACAGAAATCTTACCATATAAGAAGTGCAAAATGTTGCCTACAAATTGAGGTGTTCCAATAAATTTACTAAGACCAAAAAAATACTCTTTGTTTGGGATCCAAACTGTGTCAAGGTGGTCTTGATCTTGAGCTGGGTAATACAATCGCAAGAAGGCACTCTGGTGGGTAAAGAAAGGCGCATCTCTCAGTCAAACACAGTCCAAGTGCAGTACTGTGAATCTTTGTATTACCAGGGCCCAAATCCCGTTCTTCCCTTAAGATACCCAGGGAAGTGTTTAAGCTCCCAAGTCCTTGAAGATAAAGATAAATGACCCAGTGGCTGATATTGGGGCTCAAATTTCAAGCTGAAAATCAGAAAAGCAAAGCAGTTGGTCACTAGCTTTCACTCAGACTTAAACGTGATCCTGGCTCCTCGAAACCTCAGACTGCTGCATCTCTTCAGCGTGGCTGGAGAATTCTAAGACTTCAATGTCTTCCTGTCCTCAACGTGGCTGGAGAATGAATTCCTGATACCGACTACTGAAGACCCTTCTCCTGTCTTTTATACCCTCTAGTGCTGGGGTTAAATGTGTGTGATCCCAGGTGCTGAGATCATCTTTGTGTGAGCTGTTTCTCTTTAGGACTGGATCAATCTTGTGTAGTTCTCGGTGGCCTTGGATGCAAAGAGACCTGTCTATCTCTTAATCCTGAGTCCTAGGATTAAAGGTATGTACCACTACCTCCTAACATCTGACTGCTGGGATTAAAAGTGTGTATCACCACTGCCTGATCTCTATAGCTTGAGGCTGACTTTGCTTTCTGAATCCTCAGGCAAGCTTTAATAAGTCATAAATTATATATCGCCACACTGAAGATAACCACAAAAGAGGAGAAGAGAATAACCATGCTTTGACTAGAAGAAAAATCTGAGCAAAAATAAGATTCACCAGTAAATTAACCAGGAGTCAACAAACAACTGGAGAATGACACAAGTAGCAAAAAGTGTTGCAACAGGAATAGCCAATTAGTCATCCTCAGGTGACTGTGGGATCAAGTTTCTACCTGTGCTAGAGAGCAAGGGCCAGACCTTAGGATTTAAAGTTGAGGGGAAGTAAGACATTACCTCATTAGCATACCCGAACATCAGATCTGTACAGCCGACAGGGTAGGATCCATTTCCTTTGGGGATATGACTATGGCCAGGGCCAGCAGCAGACATCACCGATTGTATCTTATGGAACCATGCTGTAAAATAGGTTCATGTTATGTAAACACATGGCGGTAACCCGATCCACCTCAGACTTAAGTCCTGTGCTCATAGTTTCTGGCTGTGTGTGTACATCGGCTGTCTTCTTCAATCTCGTTTTTTGAAGACAGAATCCTCACTGAAGCTGAAACTCACTAGTGGGATAAGGTAACAGGCCAATGAACACCACAAATTCAACTGTTTCTACCTCTGCAGCACTGGGGGTTATAGACATATATACCCAGATGTTACATGGGTGCTGTCTGAGCGCTGATTTTCATATTTGTGTGACAGGCACATTACTGACTCATTTCCCAAGCATCCTCTCATTTCTCACCCTACTCCAGGGTCTGCTTTGTATAAACCGTGTATGGCACTTTTGGGAATAAAAAGATGGAGGTAGACAGACGTCTTCTAATTAGTGTTTGTTCTCTCTCTCTTTCTCTCTGTCTCTGTCTCTGTCTCTGTCTCTCTCTCTCTCTCTCTCTCTCTCTCTGTGTGTGTGTGTGTGTGTGTGTAGACAAAGTTTCTCTGTGTAGACCAAGCTGGCTTCAAACTCACAAATATCTGCCTGCCTCTGCCTCCCCAGTGCTGGGATTAAAGTTGTGCGCCACTATGCCCCGAATGTGTACATTTCTATACTTCTGGACCTGACATCTTTCCACAGCAATATCAAAGCCAATGGCCCAAGATGAGACTAAACAACAATCTCCCAATTCCTTTTTCTCCCTCTGCAACTGCCCAGCTCCATCCCGAACCTCAGAAGTCTCTATCTTGTTCATTTCAGGCCAGAATCCTGCAAGTCAAACAAATCTTTACACAGTCTCTATGATTTGTTCTTAATTTAGAATTCTCCCTGATCCCAGACACAATCATTTCTTCTTCAGGATCAAACATTCCTCATGTGTGGATACTATGTGATGGCATGAATGAGGACAGCTACCCAAATGAGCTACTGTTCCGGCCCCATTCACTAGTCTAAATACAGCCTCTGGTGAACGAGGTCCAATACAATTTTGTGAGAAGGAAGGAACTAAGGTGAAACACCACCAACCCTTCTTGCCCATCATATATGTTCTTTGACCCATCCACTCTTCAATTTCCTTTTCTCTCTGCAGCCCAAATGCTTCCATATACCTGCAACTGCCCTCCTTTCAAAACCATAGTCAAATTCATGCTTTACTTCTAGATGTTGGGTCCATGGACTGGAGAGATGGTTCAGAGGTTAAGAGCACTGTCTGCTCTTCCAGAGGTCCTGAGTTCAATTCCCAGCACCCACATGGTGGCTCACAACGATCTGTAATAAGATCTGACAGCTTCTTCTAGCATACAGGTATACATGCAGAACACTCATACAACAAATATAATAAAATTTTAAAAAATTACTGTTGGCTCCAAATAACAAATCCAGACTCCTATTTTTCTTTATACATCGAGCTTGCCCCCAACATCTATGTTTCTGAACTGTGGGTGCTAGTTCCTCTGCGGCACGCTGTGTTTTGTACTGCACTGGCTCTGCCAAACACCCAGAGCTATGCGAAGTGTGGCACCGCCTTGTTATCCTGAAGATTGCTCAGCAGCAAGGCTTTGAGTCTTGGAAGCAATCTTATGCACACCCTCCACTGATGACTCACATGTGAGGCACCAGCCAGTAATGAAGGCTTTCAATACACAAGGCCTCCTACACAAAGGTGATGCTCAGGCCAGCATCATGGGCATCACCCAGAGCTTAGAAATTCAGATCCCAGTCCTCACTCCAATTCGACTGAATCAAAAAGATTCAAAGTAGACTGACTCAAAGAAACGCGGTGTCTCGGTCCAGATCTCTTGGCCGGCTGCACGCATACAGCAATTATAGGAGGCAATTTCAAGAAAGACAGAGGGTAGAGTGAAGCCCAGTGTTGGATCCAAGCGGTCCTGTTTCACATACCAACGATGGTGCTCTAGCCTAAGCAATTTAGCTCCTCTCTCTGGTGCCCATCGGTAAAGTGGGAGGGAGGAAAAGGCCCTTAACCAGCCTCAGGACAGCTGTACAGATGAAATGAGTATATTGAACACGTGCCTGACACTGACTGTAGCATGTTACTGGAGGCCAAATGTCCTTATTTCTTCCCTTCTGCAAGCTGGTTAATTCTCACAATTCAAAAGATGGGCAGTCTTGGACGGGTTTAGTAGATCTATACCAGGTTTCCACTCTCCTTCAGGATACATTCAAAAATCGGGGCGTTTCCCTGAATACTTTTCTATTTTTTCACTTTACCACCTTATTGGTGAACATTCTGGGGCTTTTTTAGAATTACAAAAGGTTCTTCCTCTCCCGTGTTGTTATCTGTAAAGTCAGGCTTGGTGTAATTGGGAGGCGATAAGTTTAGAGTCATAGGATAGGGGACACCTTCTGCCTTTCTTTCTGTGATGAGCAGCTAGTGTGCCGCTCTGTCCCCACCCAAAGGCAGCCATGGCGGGGGCTAGACCAGTGAAGAAACCACTGGCTCTCACAGCTCAGTGAGGAGTCCCAGAGGACTCTTAGCTGCTTTGGAGACCCTACCTAGCAACAGAGTTCCACAGCCCACAACTGAGATCTTAATTCCACTGAAACCATGGAAACCTCTTCAAATAACCTGTGGTTCTCTAAAACCTTCTCTCCTTTAGGCTCCTCACCCAGAATCTAGGAGTCCCAGGTACTACACTGGGTGCAGAAAAAAGTGGGTGCCTTAACAGCTTGCACATCCCATGAGCCTGCATCTCCATCTCTCCAAATATCTGACGTCATCACAAGGAAGAAGAGATGTCAGGACAACCTCATCTTGGATGCTTGCGAACCAGAGTTTATCTTTTCCCAATCCTCTCCAACTTTATTTAAATGGGAACTCTGGACCTATAAAATGCCTCTTGGTATATTACTTTTGGTATTCAAATATTCCTGAGTCTTAAGATGTATCCATTCTAGAAAAGCTGCATTTGATTTTATATTTTCATTATGCCTCATCAGCATGTGCTGTATCTCTAGCCCATCTGACAGCACGTGCCTGTAATACCAGTGCTTGCAAAGGGAGCGGGACAAATAATTCAAGGCCATCATTCGCTACACAGTGAGTCAGGGCTCAGACTGGGCTACATAAAGCTGTCTCAAACAGCCCAAAGAAAGGTTTGGGGAGACGATTTAATGTGTAAGAGTGCCTGCCGCACAAGCATGATGACCACCTGGGTTTAAATCTGCAGCACCCCAGAAAAAATTAGGCATGGCTTCTGGGACCTGAAACCCTAGTCCTGTGGTAGGTAGAGACAGGAAGATCTCTGAGTTCAGTGTGAGACCCTGCCTCAAGGGAATAAGGTGGAAAGTGACAGGACAGGACACTGGGCATTTTCCTCCGACTTCAGCCTGTTTATACAGGTGTGGATGCGCACAGACACACATGTACTCAGAAACACACGCAAACGTAAATCATAACCTGAATAGCCTATATTTTTCTTTTGCATTCCTTTAACAAGAAATTAATCATCTATTGTTTTAATCTATTAATTATAGATTTGAAAGCATTCATGAGTCCACTTCTGAGCATGTAGAATGGCTGTGGCATTGGGCTAACACAAGTCCCAGGAAGACGAATAACTAATAACCCTGTCTTCAAGGAACAGATTTCTAGTGATGTGTAAAGAGGACAGAAAACAGGTCTTCAAATTCTCACCCTGCACCAATTAGAGTAAATGCTGTAAAATATATAATAGTTGGCCCATCGTGTGACATGTTTTCAATCCCTGAAACTGACACTTGGAAAGATTAATTCCATTTTAAGTAGATCACAGGTTCCCTGATGACAAGCTCCGCACCTTAGTCACAGCTGTATACATAGTGCCTCCACTTCCTGGGAAGCGTTGAGGGATGAATGGACCTCTGAGGTATTAGTCAATTACCTGCACAAACACCAATATAAGGCACAGTCCTTTTCCTATTGATTCAACCATTTCCCCAATTACCAAGTAGGGCAAAGTTTATATGGACAACACGGAGTTATGCAAGCCCTTTTGTCGATGCCGTGGAAAGAGTTGTCCAACCAGCTCAAGTAATTAGATCAGAGTGAGCACACGTACTTAGGTATAGAGATTTGTGGGTGTAGAGAGTATGACATCATTCTCTAGATACCTCCTGCTGTGCTCTCCACAGGACACAGATTGAAACACGTTTGTGTCGCGGTTCTTTAAGATAAACAGGCATTCGCGATGCTCCAGAAGCAATGTCCTTGTAGGATAGGTCCCTTTTGGTGTGGTGACATGAGATGTACTTGTCCCCTAGCTACTCTTCCTAGTGTGGTCTAAACCTTCCTCCTCTTTTCTCCCCTACTTAACACAACTGAAGAGAGAAAGTGACCATGTCCATTCTCCTCTAGAACGCCAGGCACCTACCTGCCTCCAGGTCTCCTCAGCCTTAGAAACAGCCCTGTCCCTTTGGACCTCAGGAGTCCAGACTGTTAACCTTCTCACACACCTTTCCACCTCCCCAGGCCTAAGCTTGCTTGCCAAGACACAGACAGGGTTGGAGACTGCCTTCTAAATGCCAAAGCAAGTGTGCTCCTGCACCTGGCAGGAGTTGAGTAGGGGCAGTGAAAGAGGGGAGGGGGAGGTGTTTGGGGCATTTTCCATGCTCGTAGCAAGCTGACAAGAAAACACGTGTTTTTTCAGCTTGGGCTATAAAGAGAAAAGAGTGAGGCCCCTTCCTGCTTCAGAATGAATATTTCCCTGAATATATTCTCATGACTGTGTGCATGCTCGTGTGTGTGTGTGTGTGTGTGTGTGTGTGTGTGTGTGTGTGTGTGTGTAAGCCCTTGTTAGCATGTGCACTCACATATGCATGCTCAGGTGTATGTGCATATGTGTGCACATGATTGTAGAAGCCAGAGTTCCATGAGCAGTGTCTTTTTATGATCACCCTCCGTATTTGCTTCTTTGAGGCAGGACCTCTCACTGACCCTAAAGCTCTTCAAGCCATCTAGGACGGTTTGCCAGTAAGTTTCAGGGATGGCCCCGTCTCGGCCCACCCCCTCCCACAATACTGCCAACCTCTTACGTCAGTGTTGGGGATCCAAACTCAGGTTCTCAAGCTTGCACAGCAGGCACTGGGTCACCCGGGCTATCTCCCCAGCCCCTGAATGAGCACTTCTTCAAAGGACTTGCTCACACATCAGCACACGCGGCGTCCTGAAGTCACTTGGAGTTTGAAGCCTCTTACCTGACGACCCGAAGTCAAAGGGAGGTGGGTCTTGCCAGTGGAAAGGGCGCACCAGTGGGAGGCAGCAGAAGAGGCAGGAAAGTACATGCAGTTTGCGTGGCACCATCTTGGGAGCTGAGCAGCGGGCTTCAGTCTACGGTTCTTCGGAGCAGGCAGCTCAAAGAAAAGAAAAGGAAAACCACGCAATGAATGTACCGAAGAGGATTTAAGTGGCTGCCAATCAGTGAGGTCCCAGCAATGTTGGGTAGCAATGAAACACACATTTCTTTTCAGAGCTGGCGTTCAGATAGATACTGAAGTAGCAGAATCCCTTATGCTGATGGGTGACAGAGCATAGACATAACATTTTGAGATAGTTAAATATGATTTTCTCTAATTTTATTACAGTGCCATCTGGTTATAAAGAAAAGCGCCAAATCATAACAATTATAACAAATGTGTCCCCATTGTCATTATGCCCCAAGGCATGTCTTGTACAGACGACTAACAGCAGCTAGTGGGCTCTTGACGATGTTTCTGTAACAGTGTCTACTGTGGTTGTAATGCTCCGCTGTAGTTGGTTTTGATGTCGTGAGTGTGTGACCTGTCTAACTACTTGACTTCTGAAGGCTGCTGATATTGGAGAAATATTTCCTAAATCAATAGGTAGATGAAATGATAGAATATCAGAATTGGGGTAGTAAAACTAATATTTTAGTTAGATCCATATGCAAACATCATATTAACAAAATGTACTTTGGGGTGATGGTGGCTCATGTCTTTAATCCCAGCACTTGGGGAGGCAGAGGCAGGCGGATCTCTGTGAGTTTGAAGCCAGCATGGCCTACAAAGTGAGTTCTGGGGCAGCCAGGGTTGTTACACAGAGAAACCCTATCTCGGAAAAACAAACAAAACAAAACAAAACAAAACAAAAGGTTCTCATATCTGTGCAATAATTTCCTGCTTTAATGTGCATCTCTCCAGGCAAGGGACTTAGCTCATCTGGTCGAGTGCTTGCTTAGCATTCCTGAAGCCCTGGGTCCAATCCCCAGCATGGCCTAAACTAGGTTTGGTGACAGATGCCTCCGATCCTAGTACTTGGGCGGTAGAGGCAAGAGAAGTTCAAGGTCATCCTTACCTACATATCAAGTTCAACACCAGCTTGGATGCATGAGACTCTGTCTCAAAAACAAACAAACAAACAAACAAACAAATAACAACTAGAAAGAAAATGTGTATCTTCAGCTTCTGGAGGAGTTGTTGGAAATGGTCCAAGCCACCATTGCCTCTCATTTGAATTTTGGCAATAACTAACTGCCTCTCTGCTTCTGTCCCAGCCCCAAAGTCTAAAGCCAATATAATTACAGATGACTGTACTATGCCTCAGCCACCAAACCTCATTAGCATCATATGTCATAGGGCAAAGTAGCATAATGGCTGTCTTTATACTCAGTGGACTTGAAACCTTACCTCTGTCCTCTCTAACTGCACACCTGTTGACTCTACCCAGGCTTCCCTGCCACCTGCCAAGCACACAGGTATCCTGACCTCCCCACCCTACCCCAAAGTCTGCGCATATTCAAGGCTCTCTGCCTGGACACCCAAATGACTCTCATGTCCAGGTTTTCACCCCTGTGTTACCTTTACAGTGAGTGTTTCCGATTTATTCATTTAAAACGGGACTCCACACTACTTCCCCACACCAGTACAGATCTAATGCCCCATGTACACTTCTCCAATATTTGTTACCAAATGACACACTCTGCATTGTTAGTTTATTATCTTGCTCTAGAAATTCAGCTCTTGCAGTGCAAGAAGTCTGGACTCCATTCCCCACCCCCAACCCCCCTCCCCACTGTCTTCCAAAGTCCTAGAATAGCACCTAGTATACAGGAAGCGACAAATAAATGCCTGCTTAAACAAATAGGAATCCTAGCAGTTTCTGATACACATGGTTTCTAACACACACAAACAAGCCACACAGTCCACGGGAGTGTCAATTTTGCTGACTCTGAAGGAGGCACTAACTAGACAGCGTGGTTATTTTCCCGGAGGTTTAGTACAGAGAGGTGGCATGGACAGCCATCAATCCTGCATGTCCCTATGTTCCATGCACATTCTGGTCTCTCTTATGGTTGGAATCCAGTCTTCACACTAATTCCTGATTAATGGAAACCTGAGAAGAACTGGCCTGAGACACTTGAGGCAATGTGTCTCCTCTCTCCTTTCTTTTTTCCAATACGAAATGTGGAAGTCAAATTATGGTCCAGGAGGCTCCAGCCTGAGACGTCTAGATCCCTAGTCGCTAGGCAGAAAAGAGCTCTTCCAGTGTGTACAGCTTGCCATGGATAAGAAATATGCTGCATAAAAGCATTCTATCTAGAAGTAAATCTAATGAGGATGAGGCTCACCCTTATTATATTTGGAGTGATGTGCTGAGTCCCTTAGAAACGACAGATCACTGATTCTGAGTCCTGAGTGACAGCTAGGGAGTCTTCCAAATCAGCATCATACTTCTCAGCTTACCATCTCCTACAGATAGCCTCTGCTACAGCATATAACTTGCAAACAGCTGGGGAAATTGTCACTGGAATTCTAACCTTCTTGATCTCCTTGAATTTAAAAGCTCTAGAATATTCCACCCCTGGTAATTTTAGCTTGACTAAGGCAGGGGAGGGTCATTCGATCCATTTGGGAGATCACTGGATGGGGGGGCGGGGAGAAAGGAAGACAAATCGGGTGCAGATGGATGTGCTGCCTCAAGGAAAGCTACTCTAGGCAAAGATTAGCCTGCACACAGAGCCTTCATCTGCGCTACATAGTCCCATCAACATCTGAAAGAAGCCTTAGAGATAGCAAGTGCTTCCGGCAGGGTGAGGCTGCTCTGCCCTGTAGGGCCATCACCTTAGGTGACGTGTACAATGAAGCAGGGCAGAAGTAACACACAAAGCCGCAGAGGTTCTTGGGTGCCCTTCCCAGGACCTCTATCCTCCAGGCTGCCTAGGTGTCTGACACAGCCAACCCTCCCTGCCCCAGAGCAGTGTCTGGAAAGTGTTGAAAAGGTAAAATATCACCATTTGTTTGTTACATACTTTCCCCATCACATTGGATCTCTAATTTTTATGCTCAAAGCACAGATCCTATCAATAAAGCATGACCAGTTCCTCATATTTTCTATATTTGTTTGCTCACGTATTCATTTACTTGGTTTTAGGGAAAATTTTCCAACTTGTAATAATTGCAACTTGGATAAATCTAACTGGTTACAATGCTGTGTGAAGTATTCAGTTTTTAAGAAAACTTCTACATCAAGGCTGGTAGGTCAGCTCAGTGGGTGGTGTGCCTGCCCTGCAAGCATGAAGACCGGAGTTTGGATCCTAGGCATCTATAGAAGTGCACGTGATTGTGCTGGTTAGTTTTTTATCAACTTGACAGGAACATAGACATAACTGGGGCATCTTGAGAAAATGGCTCCATAACACTGACCCTTGTTAAGTCTGTGGGGTAGTCACTTGATTAATGATATGGGAGGGCTCATTCACCTTTTGTGGGTGGTGCCCCGCCCATGGGAAGGTGGACCTCGGGTGTGTAAGAACGCAGTCTGAGCAAGCCATGGGAAGCAAGCCGGTAAGCAGTGTTCCCCATGGCCTCTGCATCAGCTCCTGTCTTGAGTTCCTGCCTTGGCTTCCCTTGATAGACTGTGGTCTGGAATGTATAAGCCTGACAAGCTCTTTCCTCCCTGCATTGCTTTTGGTCACGTCGCAGCAATAGAAACCATGACTAAGACATTGAACCATGTGACCCCAGCACCAGGGAGATGGAGCAAAGATGGGTTGATTCCTAGAGCTGGCTGATCAGTCAGTCTAGCCAATCAGTGAATGCAATTCAGTCAGTCTAGCCAATCAGTGAGTGCAATTCGTGGGAAGCTGTTTCAAGAAAAAAAAATATAGAGAGTGATAGGGATAGGGTAGACACCCGAGGTCCACCTCTGACTTACACACACACACACACACACACACACACACACACACACACACACACACACACACAAAAGCCACCTTCATTACTTTCAAAAACCCACTTGAGGCTTAGCCTAGACACCTAAAGGTACTACACTAAAGCTTCCAGAAGTTTTCTCCAAAGGAAAAAAATCCCCTGTCAGTGGAGAAAGATGTTTTAAAGAAGACAGGAATCTGCTTTGTTTTGTTTTGAGACTATGCCATATAGGCTGGCCTTGTTGTAACCCTCCTACCTCAGTCTCCTGAGTCCTGGGTTTGCAGGTGTGCTAGAGAGGACTTCTAATGTCCCATAGGTCAGACCCCATGCAGTAATCCACTCTGGATGCCCCAGTGCCCCTGGCCACCAAGCTTTAGACAGGGATGATGGGGCAGCTGTGAGGGAGCAGCTGCTCACTGTCCGTGCTGCCCTTGAGGGCTCAGAGGCTTCCTTGATGCCTCCCCCTGCAGCGTCAGTCTGTGGGAGTCAGACCGGAAGGGCACACTTAGGAACGCTTGCTTCAGGTGCAGGATGGCAGAGCAGGCAGGTGTGCTCTAGTCACGCTGCTCTCGTTATAGTGAACAAGAACAAGGGGAGGACTGTTCTGCTGGGAAGCAGTGTTCCCTGATGGCCTGACGGTGGCGGCACAGAGGGGTGACAGTGAGGTGGCCTCTGCTTCTTTCTGAAACTGCTCTGTGCTCTTGGGACAAATTCCTAGAGAAATGAGAATGTTTTGACACTTTTTCCCTTATTGGGGTGGGGGAGGGTAAGAAAGAGTCTTGTGTACCCAGGCTGATCAGGAACTCTGCTGTGTGACCCAGGATGACCTTGAACTCTTGCCTCCACCTTCCAAGAGCTATGATTATAGATGTCACAGACATATACCCCCCCAAGGAGGGGCTCAGAAGATGGTCTCAATGGGTAAAGTCCTGCTGTGCAAGTGTGAAGACCTGAGTTCAGGTCCCCAGAATCTACAGCAGGCTGGACATGCTGGTGGGTGTGATCCCAGCCCTCCTCCTGTCTGATCGGAGGAGACGAGAATCCCTGGAAATGTGAAGGCCACCTAGCCTGTCATAGGCAGAGGTGAACAAAAACCCTCTCTCAAACCAAGAGGAAGGTGACTAGCCACGCCCAAGACGGTCCTCTGACCTTCACACATTCACGGTAGCATGTGTGTACAT